ACATCATCTTCAGAAATGGGGTCAACTTCCACATGTGTGCAGTTGACACCCAACTGTACCTCTCTGCCTCCTGCCTTGATTCCAGGGTCACTGCTGTCCTGACAGAATGTCTGTCAGACATCAAGTCCTGGATGAGAGCTCATTTTCTTCAGTTGAATGTCAACAAGACCGAGGCTCTCCTGATTGGCTTCCGTCAGCGCCTCCTCACCTCAGTCACTGACAGCATCACCATCCATGGATGCACACTCCACCTCACTGAGCCAGTCCGGAACCTTGGCATCTTATTTGACCCTCAACTATCCTTTGGGACGTCCTCCTGACGTGAAAGGCGCTCTATAAATGGAATCTTGTTGTTGTTGTTGTTGTTTCTACCCCACATCTGTGCCATGACCCACTCTGCCTTCCCCCACCTTCGCAACATCGCCCGGCTCCGCTATTCTTTCATATTGCAGTCCACCGAAACCCTCATACATGCTTTCGTGTATATTATTATAGACTATGCAAACTCCCTGCTTGTCAGCCTCCCCAACTCCTCCGTCCATAGGCTGCAGATCATCCAGAACTCTGCAGCCGGTGTTCTCTCCCGCAACAGGCTCCGTGACCCTATCACCCCCATCCTTGCCCGACTCCACTGGCTCCCCTTCACTCAGAGGATACAGTTCAAGATCCTGGTCCTCACCTTCAAAGCCCTTCATGTTCTTGCTCCCCCCTACCTCTGTGATCTCCTAAACCCCTACCATCCTGCTCGCTCACTCCGCTCAGTGGGCTCCAGCCTGCTTCACGTCCCGTGCCTCCTTCGCTTCACTATTGGCCGGCGGGCCTTCTGCCACTCCACCCCCTCTCTGGAATTGCATCCCTCAGCCCCTCTGCCTCATCCCCTCCCTTGCCCTCTTTAAGACCCATCTCAAGACCCTCCCCTTCCACAGTGCTTTTGATCACCCTACTTCCCCCCCCCACCCCACCCTCCACCCTCCCCAATCCCGACCCCCAGTTCTTGACCGAAACTCTGACTGTCCAGCGACTTAGGACATCTTCCTGGTGTGAGACGCGCTATACAAATTTTATTTTGCTGCTGCTGTTGTTAAATGTGTGAGGTTGACTCACCTATAAGGCTGTGGGTTCAAGTCCCACCTCAGGACTTTGAACTCACAATCTAGGTTGGCCCTCTAATTCAGTGTTGGGGGTGTGCTCCATTGTCAGAAGTGCCATGCTTCAGATGCGACTTTAAACAGATGTTCTATCTGCCTGAGGAGGTAGATGTTAAAGATCCCAGTAAACTATTCGAAAAGTAAAAGGAGTGTCTCTAAAATTGGTCATTCACTTGACCACTGTTTGTGGGGCAATGCTTTGCATAGATTGGCTGCAGGTCCATCAACAAATACACAGTCATTACACTTTACAGGTAAATTCTGTGAAGTGCTTTAAGACATCTTTAAAACATGTTAAGATGCTATGCCAAATGCAAGGATTACTATAATTATTATAAATGGGGAAGGAAGAAGATGGGTCTCATAGGTCTCCCTGATCCCAGCTGCTGAATCTAAATTGATATATTGGCGACAGTTTTCTGATCTAAGCAGTTCTGTCTCTTTTTTGGATAGAGGCATATGGGCTTTGATTGTGTCATTACAAATACACAGTCACTACACTTGACACAATTCCTTTGAAGTGCTTGAGATGATTAAAAATTATGGGCACTATCTCAAATACAAAGATTGTTATTATTACTATATTGGGACTGAGTTTGAAAGTGAGAGGTATGGAGAATTAAAGCTGGTCTCACTAGTCTAGCCATTGCTTGTTGATGTTCCAGTATCCTGACATGAACAGAATTTTCGATGTTCGTTTTTGTCTGATAGATATTTCAGTTTCTCCAAACACTGTCTCTACAAGCCACAGACTGTTCCTTTTCATTTATTTTTTTAATGTGAGACAGCAGAATATGAGACACAGATAACAGCTGAAGTTTATATATCTATTGCAATGTAAAAGTAAACAGCCACCTCGGTTTAAGAATAATGGATATCTGGGGTAATTACTTCGAAAATAATGGATATATGGGAGTGATTGCAGAGAAAGATAGATTACCTACCTAGTCAGTGTGTTTTTCATTCTTCCAATGGTTTGATCCTCCGCAAATTGCTACAATCAGGTTACTAGCCGGGTGAATTGAGTGAGAGTGATGTACTTTTAAGACTTTCTTTTTGTGGAGGATACTGATGATGTGAGGGACAGAGGTGTCAATCACCCAATCTCTCTGTTCCTCATTATGTAAAAACATACTCCTCCTCACCTTCATGAGTTATTTGTTCCAGGAGAAGTGATATTTCCCTCAATACAAAGAAGCAGCAACCTTGTAATATTAGATAGACAGAATCACTACTCTTATTTCCTGCTGGTTTTAAGACAATTTGACACCTCTAAAGTTCATAGATTCTTTGTTCAGTCATTCTGCAAGTGAAGCTCAAAGAGTTCTCTTTCTTCATAAAGGAAGACGCTGCTCTTTTCACCCTTGACAAAATGCCATGTTTTGGAGTCTACTTTCATAGGATCAAGGTAACAGTCTAGAGCAGATGCTTTGGAAGTGCATTTGGATTGCCATAAAACAGTGGTGAAAATTCTGGAGACTCCCAGTAACATCTGCAGTGCTGACAACTTAGAAACCACCACAGGCTATGAGCATAACCTGTCAATAGCAGCATATAATACCTAGCGAGAGGTCTCTACACAGTTCAATAAGAAAAAAAAGTGTATCTCACTTTTCATGTGAAAGAATGTCACAGAACACTTCACAAAAGTGTAATGGTGGATAATGAGCAGGAAATACCTGATTTATAAATGTTGACTAAAGGCATGGTTGAAGATATACGCTTCCCTTCGCCTTGCTTTCTCCCTTGCTTCCTTCAAGGCCGGTCTCAAGATCCTTCTCTGCGATCGTGCCTTTGGTCGCCCTCCCACCTCTCTGCCTTCCCTCACCCCTACACCACCCCTCCCCCATGCTCGGGCCCCGACACCTGACTGTTCAGCACTTTGGGACGTCCTCCCGCCGTGAAAGGCGCTCTATAAATGTCATTTTGTTGTTTGTTGTTGTTTTAAGTATGTTTTGTAGGCAGGGAGAGAGGTAGCAATGCAAAGTAGTTTTGGGTTCCACCACACCATTGTACAGCGCTCTGAGACAACACTATCCTGTGAGAAAGGAGCTATATCTGTTGTTTTTGTTGGAAAAGATACGGTTATGTTGACAAACAACTGGAGAGCTCTACTTTCTTGAAGAAATTTGCTGGAAAAAAGTTGGGATTTAATTATGATTGGACTTTCAGAGCACAGGTTCTTTGGTAACCAATGTGGAGTTTAGTTCAGAGAGAGATCATTGCTCAAATCCAGGCAGCATTGAGCCAGTGTAGATTCTGGAAACTGCAGATCAAAGATCTAGCAAGGCCCTTTGATAATTTGGCTACAACGTTCAGTACTCCAATAACATAGTTAGCAATCTTAAATTACCTCACAAGTTCTCGGTCTTTCCCTGAATGGTTTTACAATCACAGGGTTTCCAATGCATTGTTGAGCTACATAGTGAAAGTAGTACAATTGGCTTCAGGCATTTAGAATAGTATTTAAATCAATTAATTGTATTTTTTGACAACATAAAAATCTTTAGTAAATTCAAAACATTCCTTCAGCGTTGCCATTTATCCCCCAACCCACATGCCAATTTATTATCTGCTGATGCCCAGGGACAGATATGCTTTTGTACAATGTGGGAGTCACAGTCACGTGAATGAGAAGTCACCTGATGCACAATATCAAAACAAATTTAAAGAGATAATATAGCTTTTGATATTCTCACCATTGGATACATAGGTTTATCAACTGGAGGTTATGAATGGAGAAAACTTAATATCTGAGCGGGATTACATACAGAATAATGGCAATCTAGAATTAATGATTTGGAGATACCTTCGAATAAGTTTTGTGGTTTGATTTATTGTCAGGCTTCCAATCAATGCATTTGGATGATGTGAAGTCGAGAAGGATCTGAATGCAGAAGTTTGGGGTTCTAAAATCTGGCGTTTGTATTCTGTAAGGTAATTAGTTATGACTTACTGTTTGCAACAACAACAATTTACATTTATATAATAATAATCCTTACATTTGGTATAGCGCCTTTCATCTTCTGAGGATGTCTCAAAGTGCTTCAGCTAACTGGAAGCCTGAGCAGGGGGAGGGAAAGATTACCAAAACCATATATTATGGCTGAAAAAAGTATTACAAAATGCTACCTTGAATGCAAACAAAGATTGTTTCATGGCTGGTGCTTTGCTTTCTCACCTTTTGTCTACATTTTGGACCTTTTCTCAGCTGACAAACGGTCACATATAAAACGCATGTTGCAAAATGGCAATTGACAGTGTTCAGCATCACAACGTTTTGTCGTGGGCTTTTAGCCATTGTCAGAATTTCCGTCACAAAGCAAGCCACGATTAGCACGGCAACATCTGGCCTGCAAGTGACTGATTTTAAACCGCTGTATCCCTCCTTTGAAATCAGCACTTGTTTTGGATTTTAAAAAGAAATTATTGGGTAGGCTGCTTGTTTGGATCCATTGGTGGTCTCTGCAATCTGTGGTGGTCTCAGTAGTCTGATTTCTGACCCAGGAAGTAGTCTCCAGTACTTGAAGGAACAGTTAATCTCATCACAGCCCAACCAGCCTGGCTCATCTGCGTGGAGGAGCAGACCAGTCATGGATTGCAGGGATCTTCCCATTCGGCTCTTGTTACCCCTTAAAGCCAGAGCCCTAACATGTAGGGTGGACCTCACTGAACAAGTGCGGGAGGCTCGTCAATGATCAAAGAGTTTGGGAGGTGGGATTAACACGGAGGTGGGATTCCACATCCATTAGACATCTGACTCGTAAAAAATATTGGGATTCGTTATTACTGTCTGTGTATTTCAGGTTGACAGGTGATGTTCGCACAGCAGGATTAAGAACTTTGATAGCATTACAAAGATTTTATTGAGAAATAATTTTGTAGGTGATTACTAGGAACTTTTGCAGGCAGCATAAATTATACACATTTAAAAGGAAATTCACTTGTGTTGGAAGCAGTGTTAAATCCCAACCCGTGTAAATCCTATAAGAATTAAAACTAATCATCACACTCCTGAATAACAACCCCCAACAAACAACCGTATGATTGTTATATGCAATGATTAGAAATGTCACTCTGCGCACAACAATGATACAAGCCCTATAAAATCCTCTTGATTTATGGAATTTTTATTCCATCCATATACATGCATAGTAACAACATTGTTGAGAAATAATTTCTATCAGAAGTAGAACAATATTCATATTATCACCAGTTGCAGTATTAGTGCTCCATTACTTACATTTCATCACCTCCAAAATGATTTTTTTGCCTTTTTATGTTTTCACAACAGCAATCCACAACTACTGATCATTATCTTCAATAAAACACGGCAGAAAGGGTTCAACCTTATTTCAATACTGCTTCCAGTAATGTTGTTCATATTAAATATTGCATTTTACAGCAAATGTTTCAAAAGTGAGACAAAAGCGTCGGCAAGGAAAAGTACAGTACAGATTACTATACAAGAAAGTTAACAACTTCAATAAAACATACATAGCTCAGTTTAAGAAAGTGGATAGGAACAAACTGCTACATATATATCATCTTATGCAAAGCCTAATGATTACTGTATATGCTGATATATAAGCTGCAATTTTGGACTGAAAATGTTGTATTAAATATGAAATGGAATTTGTACGAACTTCAGTAATTTTTTTTAAGGCCTACAATACCTTCTAACTTTGCAGTCTTAAAATGAATGCAACTTATATTCTGGCATGTACAGGGAAGTTGCAACAAACACAGGGAAATTTGAATACACAAGTGCTTTATCTTAACCGGTTCATCTACAAATGCTGTCTCTACTCTGTATGTGATGCGGACCTCTCTCTTCTACTTTACAGTGCAAACCGTAATTGTTACACAAGATTAACTATACAATAATGTTAAAAATGATTTAATTATAAACTTCTTTAAATAAAAATCAAAATTTAACCACAGCTATGAATACTGCTTGGAAAATAAATTAAATCCGGTGAAAAATGGCACTGATATTTCACATTTATACTAAGACATATGAAGAGCATTAATGAAATGACAGACTAGCCTCCACCCCATTGAACTACACACCATTCCCTTGATTGTCCTGATGTAACTCAAGCAGCATTTTTTTTCCTTTTTATGTACAAACTATGCATGGCCACGAGTGTACTAGAGGCAGGTGTCATGCATGACAGTAACTTTCATTTCACATGCTCTGCAGCATGTGATGAGCAGTAGAACTTCTTGTGGGTTATAAAGTTAGACAAGTTATTGAACTGAATATCACAGAGTCGGCAGTATTTCCCACTGGTTGTAGGCTGGACAGCACCGCCGACGGTTTTTGCTGCCTGGACTAACTGCTCCTCTAATGAAGCTCTAGCCGTGGGAGAGATGTTTTCATTTGCAGTGACAGGACTTTCAGATGTCCAAGGAGGAGATTCATGGCCATCTTCTTGCTGGACGCTCTGGGATGGGTTATCTTGATGCTGGTTGCCCGAGAAAGGCTTGTCTTCCTGCTTTATTCCTCCGTTGACTGCTATCATGCTCCTACCCTTCGGTAACGATGGGGCAGCCTCCTTCTTTTGCGGTGAGCAGCCGTTAGATACTGGCTGGTCTCTTGGAGGATCAATTCTACCACGTGTACCTTGCACCAGCTCATCAATTTCACTGCGGATGAAAACAGCTCCCGAGATGTAGTCACTGGGTTTAATTCCATAATATGGAGATATCTGCTCAACCCCGCTCAGTTTTTTTATTGCTCCTGGATAAAGGCAATGAGGGTATATTACACTTTTGTTTTCTTCTTTAGCGGAAAGGAACTGAGCTGCCTCGTTAAAAGCTTTCAGCCCGTGCAGGGCCGCTAGCTGAGATGGAAATATACTTCCATTTGGGGAGACGAGTTTGGAATTTCCATTTTTCTCACACTTCATCATATTTCTGTCATTGTTTCCTTCAGGACTGGTGGCTTCCCTTTTTACTGAACCGCTTTCCTGTTGCTGCTCTAGAAACTTTGTTCTCTCCACCTCCCCACGCTGGACTCCCATGCCTGGGCAAAAGTTTTGCTTGTGAGCAAGGTAATTTTCGACCTTGTTGAAACCAATCTTGCACACAGTACATTCATGGTAGTCTAGCAGCCTTTTAGGAGAAGACATCACTCTGTCCGATTGAGACGAACACTTTTTGCTCAAATCCATTGGAAGGTCCAGCTCCAAACTGGCCACTGCAGGTTGTGCTGTGTTGCATTTGACAACAGGCATGTTCCTCGTCCCTGGGAGAGAGGGTTCCATGTGTTTTGCAAGGAACACATCACACCTCTGGTGGGAGGCTTCTCCCAGATTCTCCATTGATTCTGTGGAAGGCGTTCCAGGGCTGCCCATGACGGATACATTAAGGAAAGCCTGCTGGACCATCTGTGTCCTCTGCTCCTGCTCTGGCAATGACATCTCGTACATCTTCCGCCGCTTGCGACTACGGATTGTCCTCTGCATGGCGGGAACCTTGTTTGCTGCCATTCGTTTCATTGGGGGATCGTGACGGGTGGCACAGTAGTACTGCTTATGCACAGCGAATGTTTCGTGCCTGCTAAACGTTATATTGCATTCTTGACAAGTAGTTTTGTTTGGATCATTGGCATTCTCTGGTGTGGGAGTGCTGGGGCTGTTCATATCCTTGGACTTTCCATTGAGCCGCTCATCACCACTAACAGAAGGTGACTCTTTCTTCAATTGTACTGGATTTTCATTGTCTGGAGATTTTCCATTGGAACCCACAGTATCTATAACTACAGAGGAGTTGATGCTGGTTGATTGGAGAAGTGGGTTTTCTGGCTCTGGGAGATGACAAAGGGCACTATGAATGCTGATTGGGCTGTGCCCACTATTGGGGCTTACTGTCTCTGGTACCTTCTCAGTGGTATTGCTGAAGTCTTGTGACTTTGTCACATGTTGCCATCGAGTGCTACAGTAGTGCTTTTTGTGGACCAAATAGTTGTCCAAGTTATTGAAAGTGATATTGCACTCAAAGCAAGTGGCCCCCTTAGGTACCAGGGGGCTGTAAATAACTGGTGGATAGTTGCCTCCTCCTTGTCTTAGCCTGCGGTGTACCAGTTCTGACATTTTAGCTAGGATTTCTGAAGCCTGAGGAACCATGGCAATATCCTGGGAGAGGGCAAACTGAGAAAGGAAAGGACTCATTGGAAGAGTTGATCCTATGTTGGGTTGAATTGGAGATGAAGCAAGCCTTGGGCTGGACGGTTCGGATTTGATTCTGGCAAATGGAAAGCTCTGTCTGTTTGCTGCAGACTGGGTTTCACTCTTCTGGTTTGTCAAACCCAACTGTGTGCTTTTCTCCACCTTTTCTCCCTCTGTGTCAGAGTTGCCCTCCTTGCTCTGTCCAGGACTTGGCATCACTTCCTGTCTGTTCGCTGCATCTGTTCCTATTGGCTGAAAAGCTTCATCATTATCGTGGGGCGAGTGTTCAGTTTCGCTCTTCCTCCGGAGTCTCCTGCTTTGGCTGTGGTGCAGTTCTTTGTGGTGCAGCAGCTCCCTGTGACTCTGGAAACCAAAGTGGCAATGACTGCATTTGAAGGCAGCGGGCGTGAGGTGCGTGAGGACGTGGTGTTGGAAGCTAAGGACGTTTTCCGCTATGAATTCACAGATGGTACATTTCAAGTTGGCACCAGCAGGAAAGGACTCTTCGACTTTCAAACCTGTTCAGAGAGAAAACATTTTCACTACTGAAGTTCCATTATGCTGGGATTTGCAATGGAGGGTATCTAATAATAATCTAACAATAAACCAGTCCCATATTCTGTAAAGTTTGTCATTAGTACTCTACATTTGTTTCCTTTAACAATAAAGGGATCCAATTTTACACTGACGACATACATAATGCAAGAAACAAATGTCATCTGTGGAACGTAGTTAATGCAAAAGTTAGTTTCCATGTGTACATGAAAACTTTTGCATTAATAAATTGCTTTTACATTTATATTTTTGTAATTCTTTTTCAATGTTTTTGACTGCTAATCTTCGCCCTATGGCCCTGATGTGATTCCCCCTTCCAATTTCCCCTCCTCTCCCCTCAATGAAACATAGTGCAGCCTCTAGTAAGCATGGACTAAGTGAATAGAGAAGGACTGAAATCTGCGTAATTCCTTAAAAAATAATAATAAATTGGTCAATCCACGACTGTTTGTGGAACACTGCTGTGCGCAATTGGCTGTCACATTTCGCCCACATAATATACAGTCAATTCACTTTACAGTATATTTCGCATTGCGCTTTGAGACGTTTTGAAGACGTGATAAGGCGCTATATCAAATGCAAGGATTATTATTAATATTCCTGCTCCCATACTCTGCTAGCTCTGTGCAAGTCTTGAGGTATTATTGGTACACCTCAAGATTAGCATTGTTTGCTAGAATAGGTTAAATGAAGAAAGTGACAGTCTTCCTGCCACAAAGTGCTTTTGAAATACTTTAGATCCATTTAGCCGAGAAGCAGAACACTAACACTACAGACAACAGTTGAAGCAAAATTTAAAAAGGTATTTAAATGGAAACATTTTGAAGAATACTCAATAAAATAATGGAGAAATAGCAATGGAGAATGAGATTATAGAAGATAATTGCAGCGGGTGAGGATGGGAACTGATATCGGCACAACATGATGAGCTCAGCGGTCACCTTCCATGCTGTAAACTTTTTATGAGTCTACACAAATTTTGTTTGTCTACCCTTTTGTGGGGTCCGCAGTTGGACCGCAGTTGGGCAAACATGGCTCTTGGGGATTGAGAAAGTAGTTCTGTACCCAAAACATTTATTTATTCAAAATTCTATTACATTAAGAAATGAACTGAGGATTAATATATTTCCCAAATAAATTTCTTCCTTGTAATATATACAAGGCGCTGAACAATTCAGTAACACATTGCAAAAAGAAATACCAGTCTCAAATAGTTTTTTTGTAATGCAATATTGCACTATAGCATAGACTTTAGGCTCAATGCTAATATGCTTCCCTTCAACTTGTCACATGGTACAAACTTCACCACAGAGGAATTTGCACATAAGGGAAGAAAAAAAGGTCCACAATCTTTTATTGCACCGACTGACCAAGCAGAATTGTTTATATTATATAAAATAATAGGTGGCTAGGATGACCTTTCAGGACTTTAATGCAAGCTTAGGGTTCAGATGATGCAAACAAGACACTTTAGGTTCACTCTTGTGCAACTTAACCCCCCATCCCCAAAGCCATTTGTTGAATGATAAGGCATCCCCAGCAGTGAAAAGGTATATATAGACAGAAAGAGAGCAGTGCCTTTGAACAGAAACTAATTTCTGTGGAGGTTATCTGACACTAAGCATACGTCTACTTTAAAGACGGCAAATGACCTTCATTGCTTAAATGGTTAAAGGCCAGTTAAGAGGATTTCAATTTTGAAAGTAGGCAACAAGAAGAGATACTATCTTTGTGACAGTAGCTTTTATTCAAAACATTTCTGTTTCTAAACACACCATTTTGCATATATAAATTTGGCAATGAAAACATTTTAAAATTTCAGTACAACATAGTCAGACAAAGTGCTTCCAGTCCTCAAGTGGAACAGAATTCTGCCTTACTCTCGTGCATAAACAAAAGCCTGACTTTTTTATTTTAAAAAATGTACAAACACAAAAAAATACATTTTTTTTCACTTGAAAATTCTAATAAACTTAGGTCTGAAGGTTTAACACTCCAAAGAATAATTTTCTATTTATAATGAAACTAAAGATGTTGCCAATGACTTTAAAAGAGGAAAAAAGCATAACAATATTGACTTTGTTCCAAAGTTAGTGTTATCATTCTACCCTATTTTAGTTTACTTTTGAGAAGGTCAGACTTCATTTAAAAAAAATGATTTACATTCTCTCTCATCTCCTCTCTTAGATTCCCTGCTCTAACCCTGTCTGGAACTGAGCATGGATGGGAGACCGGCTTGAAACAATCTCCACTGAAGTTACTCTGTTGGCTGATGTGTGAGAAAGACCTGCGCATGTTTTCGACTCGCCATCTCTGAATGGGAAGTGAAAATCCACTTTGCCCCTAGGTCCAGGGACTTTGTCAACATGAGCTTAAAACAGGTAAATTCCCACCACTGTAATTTCACCCTCTATATATTGACCAACACAACTGAAATGAGCCAAATCGAGGATGTTTTTCCTGTAATTGGTAAAGTTGCAGACCTCTGGTGGGCTAGCAATGCAAATCTCTTCTGTTTGATCAATGTGCCAACTTCGATGGTGAGAGCTTATAAAGAGGGAATCTTACTGGAACCAGACACCACTCAGGTCAATCAATTTACTGACTAGAATTATACTCGCCTGCCAAGGTCGATAAATTTACCAACGCTCATAGAATCAACCTGTCAGCAACGTAGCAGGCTGCTTCCCACCACTGTGAGGTGCAATGCTCACCCCCCTACCCTCCAGTCTCTTCCCGTGAACTTTTGAAAGGTACAATCTTGCACTATCAACAAGCTCCTGATAAGTTTTACATTGTATTCATTTTGTATTCCTTGACAACCATCTGAACACTCAAAGACTCCAGAGAACAAAAAAAACAGACAACCGTTAAAAATTGTTTCTTTTAAAAAATCACTGCAAGGCTTTTAAATTTACTCGTCATGGCACCAACATGTGATAGAAAGGTCAACTCAGACGTCTTGCAGTAAGCCCATTTATATTTGTAGTACATTAAAGATATTCAGTCAAATTTACATCCTGCTGTATTTGCTCTGCTATCCTATCACGGCCCCATCTATGTGCTCGCAGCTATTGTGTTCCACAGTCACTGGCTGGTAGCTTGCCAAGTGCAAACCTCTGCAGAGAGCTAGTTAAACTTCAGCCATTACCCCCAACGCACACTATGGGGTCCCCAAGCCTTTCCTCTTGCCAACCTGCGGTCTAAGATCCTTTGAAATTTGGTAAGCAGGATGCATCCCTCTGACTGATATCACTTAACTCAGCACAGAGTGGGAATCAACCCTAACTGACTGCTATCTGCAGTGTACATTTCACCGACTAGGAGGGTCTATCAGGGGAGCTAAGACAATAATTTTAGGGTGAGCCTCCCTTTTCTTTTACTTGAAGGATCTCTCACATACAGCATCTGGTTTGGAAAAGCATCGGTGAGTGTTCGGGAGCAGGACACTCAGTTACAGCCAATGGAAAACACCCCAGTAGTTCAGGAATGTCCCTTCCTCTGGACTTCCCCCTGTGGCACCCCCTATATATTACTTAGTTTGACTTGACATATTTTGGGCTCGAAAGCTAAATAGTTGTACCGTCACCAATGGCAATTAAGCAAAACTGCTCGTTTTTTAAAAAAACACACCGAGAACGAGCAGCTTAGCTGTGCAAATAATGTTTGCTGCACAATGGACTTTGATTGAGGTAAGTTGGTGTTAATTTAAGTCGACTTATCTAACACATGCACATGTACTAATACCCTGATAAGACTTCAATGGGGATAGCGCAACTTCCACATTTAACACAAAGCTGCATTTTTAGGTGTGTTTCTGTAACGGCTGTTTTGTGATATGATGCCATCCAAATCATTTACTATCAGTGAGCGCTGTGATTGCAGTGTAACAGACTAGACCCATCTTCATAACTTGTAACTTTAAATTCCATTTTACAGATATTAGTGAATTGGTAATGCAAAATTCAAATTACTCCACTGTGACTCTTACCACTGTGCGTATTCATGTGAATTTCAAGAGCCCTGGCATTGGGGAAGCTCTTGCTGCATTGTGGGTAAGGACAGACATATGATTGCTGAAGAGGACCGGCCTCTCTCTCCTCTGTCAGCGAGGATGCTTCCCTCTGTCTCCCACTGCAATAATACATTAGGTGAGCTTGCAGGTTCCGTTCACTGCGGTACCAAATTCCACATGATTTGCATGGAAAGATGTCTTCTGCAATGACAATTTAAGATGTACATTATATACATTATAGTGCGTGTGAAATCGGCCAGGTCATAAATTAAACTATATTAGTTTAGAATAATCATAATCCATACAACATCAATACATTCCCACACTCCCACCCCACCCCTATACAAACAATTGGTTTGGATCTCTTTTCAACAAGTAAAGACAATCAATGAAACATTTGTTTAACAACTGTTGAAAATTAGTCTCCAAATGTCAACAATGGGGTCAAAAAACATCGGCCTGACACTTGTGGGGAGAAATTCCACCTGGCTCTATATTTACTCTATTAACATAGCATTTCAGTGTGTTCAAAATAGGGCAAATTCTTAAACACAACCTCCGTTTTGAAATCATCTTTCTGTGTCTTTTAAGAACAAAGGAAAAATTAAGTGAATTTCCTAATTCTGGATGCTCTAAAATGCTAGATGTATTGTAGTAAATCTAGCCCTGGGGAATTTCTCCCCAGGGGTTATGAGCCACTCAGAGTTGTTTAACAAGGAATTCTGCTGGTGAGTTGCAGGATCCCTGCTCTGAGGCACTATTAGTGGATCCTGCCAATCATTTACTGTCAGTTACTGGCCTGATTCTGTGATAGTCACTGTTAGCGAATCCCAATGTGAACCTCTGTTTTTTCAATCCCATTATTCCTCTAAATTGGTCCAATATTTAGCATTAACTTTAGGTACAATAGTCCCTCCTTCAATGAGGTTCTCCAAATAAATAAATCATAGACATTACAGCACTGAAGGAGGTCATTCATATCATCAGGTTTATACTGGCTTCTTCCCTGCAGCCCTACAATTTTCCAATTGAAACATAAAGACATCTCTAACTGCAAGAACCAGAAGTAACACAGGGAGAAAACGCACAGTGATCTTAAAACTTCTGTGACACCAAGATCAGGTAAAATGTCATCGCCTTTAAATTTCATTGTCTGCCTTCAAGGACATTAGCATTGCTGGAAAATTATTTGCCAAACCTTTTTCCTTTTTTTACAATCATATGGTAAAATGATATAAATCACTTTGAAGAGCATTATCACATTACTTGCACATTATTATAAACAAACAAAAATGAGAGCCATGGTTATTCTGGACCTTCTCCTGTTCCCAATAATAAATGGTTTGTCAGATTTTTTTTCCATGGAGTCAATGCTACTTTAAGAAGAAGTTCACAGACTTGGGAGATCATGCAAAGCATCACATGTCAAATACAGGGTAGAGCATAAAAGAACAATTTGTGAACTAAATAATTTACACCACAGTTCGTGCTTGACAGGGGAGTGTAGAAAATTAATGAGGTATACGTGATTTGTCTGTAGTCTGATTTCAGGGCATCAATGTCTCTTCTAATGTTGTATTAATACTATTAATGTTACAGGCTGAAGTTTCTCAGCTTAACTGCCAAGAAGCATGATGCTATGAGGCAATAAGTCAAGTCCATACTTTGCTAAGTGAATGAAGTTCCTTTTAGATTGGTGCAAGAACTAAACAATTATTTCTCTACTCCAAACAGCTCCCATGAATTGCCAACTACACACCACCCACCATTTAATTTTAAAAAATAGTTTTAAAGTCAACTTGCTCAAAATATTTCTTCTTACATGTGTCCAATTTACTTATTTTTTAATGAAAAAAGGAAAGCAAGTTTTTTTGTTTAAAAAGCATATTTAATAAAAATAACTTACTATTGACAATTGCTGTAGGTAAAATAGATGCCATGGCTGCTTGTTGAGGAAGCAGCTGTATCGTATCGAGGAGGCGAGCTGGATACATGCCCTCGGTGATGGCCATTTGGCTGACAGCTTGCAGCCTTGAGTCAAATTCCACAGCAAATGCAATCAGCTCCTCGCCCTCCGATAGCATTTTTGTTGTCGTGCACCAAAGCTGGCCCCCTGCACAGGAGACAAAATGTTTGGTAGATCACTCAAAATCTGTTAGAAAGTCATAATTTGGGAGATCCCGCACAGCCTTGATAAAATCTCCTCAGTGTCACCCAAATAATATCACTGCATTGGCCATCACAGAGAGCATGTATCTAGCTCGCCACCTCGATACGATCAGGCTCTCAACTGATCTTTTGGTTCTATGAGATTTCTAAACCATGGGGTGGAAATTACACCTGGGTGTAGATGCATTCTATTAAAATGGCTTTTTGGGGTGTGCAAAATTTGGCGATTTGTTGAATTCTGTTTTAACTCTGAAGCTGTTTTCTATAGTTTGCAATAAAGCTTTCAGAAAACCAGCTCGAAAAATTAAAAACTATATTTAATATTTTTGACAAATTCTGAGCTAACTTATTGGAACAGTCTAGGTTGATGCTCCAATGTAGTGCTGAGGGCAGTTGCATTGTCAGAGATGTCATCCTTTGGATGAGACATTAAACCAGAGTTCTATCTGCCTCTTCCGGTGGACGTTAAAGATCCTGTAGCACTATTTGAAAAGAGAAAAAAGCTTCTTCTTGTGTCTTGGCTAGAAATCTACTCGCTGTGTGTGGGATATTACTGTGTGCAAATTGTCTACTGCATACCAAACAAAATATACAGTCATGGTACAGGACAACCATGTTATAATGCAGTGTTTTTAGTTCATAAAATTAGACACCACATTACCATCAGTCTGCAAAAAAACATGGCTGCCAGTACCACACTTGGGTCATCAGATCATCAAAGACACCACTTTTGGCTTTCTGCACATAGGAAGCTGGTCACTTTGTCTCACCCACTCTCATGAGTGGTTCTCGCTCTGGAAACACTTATGAGAGTAGTTATCGATTAGCTTCCTCTGGGCAGTGCAAGAAACCAGCTGGTCTATGGCAGAAGCCGTAAGTGTACGGTAACACAAACCCTCAGGTTATAATTGGTCACTCACTTCAGTGAGACATGTTGGGATGTTGAGACATAGTGGGATCATACTATATTCAACAATAATTACTGAAATACATTTTGAGGTGTTTTAGAGTTATAGGTACTACTTCAAATGTAAGGATTATTTCATTATACTTTTTTTAATTTATTATAAGGTATTACAACAACAACAACAAGATTGCATTTATAGAGCGCCTTTCACGTCGGGAGGACGTCCCAAGGCCCTGGACAGTTGGGTCGGGACCCGAGCAGGGGAGAAATGGTCAGGGTAAGGGGAAGGAAGGGAGGGAGCGAGGAGGGGGTAGAGAGTCAAGCGGGGAGCTGAAGGCATAGAAGGTCTGTTTCATAATTCAGCCTGACTCTGGACTTACTTCTCAAGTCTTTGATATACATCCTACAGACTGAGTATACTAGTCCTGCCAGCTTTCAACAGTGAATATGAATATAAACCAAACAACCATTCATTAGTGAAGTAAAAACGGGAGAGTCTTTGAAAGTAACTACACAGTGTTTAGTTTCCAATATGAAAACGTTTTTACCTACACTTCATTTTATCCTCATGGAAATTCAAGTTTAGAAAAAAATGTTCGCAAGAATCTGGTAGAAAAGATAAGAACAAGTAAGATATGCTAACACACTGACAGAATTAGGACATTGTTGTACAGAAACCCAGGCCAATTAATTAAACCAGTCTGTTGGTTTTCAACAGCATGCAAACAAACCTATGCAAAGCCCTTCATCATTTGCAATGGATTTTGTTTTTGGAAATACAAAGTGATTGTGACAATAACCTCCTAAATCCATGTTACATTAGCAGATTAATGATATAATTATTGTGTACAAAACTCTTCTGAGGCGAAGAATATGTGGCTCAGATATTTTAAACTGTGTGGCGGGTGGGCTGCAGGGAGGATGATCAAATCAGGTTAGGAGACAACACAGTGATGGATAGCCAAGACTGCTCAGTATATGTGAAGAAGCATTTCATACTGCCCGTCACATGCTTTCTATCAAGGATTGTCAATTTATACCATTTACAGAGTGAAGTAGGTCTGATTCAGAAAATTTGCAGCTGCCACACGAATGCCCTTACATTTTTAAGGTCTCTGTTGCACACATCTGTCCCAATTCTTCCTCTTTCAGCCACTATGGCAGGATAATCTGAACAGCAAATTTTCTTCACTAAATGTAATATTATTTAAGGCATTTCCACATGAAAGTATAACAAAAATGCTTTTGGCCCCCAAATCCCATTTTTGCTTCAGAACCTACTTTACTCATTCTACCTTGCACTCTTCCAGAGACTTTTAAAGCTCCCGGTGATAACTTGCGGAAAGGTAACCCATGCAGAACTATAGCACACATGTCTGTCTGTACATTACTTTTCTTTGCACAACTTGCCACAGTCCTGGCAGCTCAGGCAGAATCATGTTCCGTTCACTTCCACCAGCACTTATTCCAACAGACCTTAGTCCTATTCCTAAACAGACGGTCATCCAGTTATTTTTTCCTGGAGTTAATTGGTTTAGCTGTGAAGCTCTTCCTCATATCCACAACACTTTGGGGAAAGGAATCCTTCCAATCTCAATATTGTTTGAGACGCATTAAGTTTTTTTCACTCATGTCCTCTGGTTAATTTGCTCACAATCAAAATGAAATAACCTATTTGTATCTACGTGGTTCATTCCTCCCGGTATTTTAAAGACCTGGATGACGTCTTCTCTCCGTCTGTTTTTCTCTGATGTAAATAGGTTCAGTTCTATGAGTCTCACTGCAATACTCAGAACACAAAGTTATCACCTGTGTCACTTTTCTCTGAGTCTGGCCAAGGTCATCCGCAAACAATGGTCCTGCAAGCAGCTTTCACTGTCCCTCCTCAATCTCTCCGCGGCCATTGACAATGTCGACTATTCTATTGTCCAATGTTTCTCGGCTATGACCCATCTCTGTGATTCACTCGTCTCAATATCATGACTCATCATTTCCTCCAATGGGTTTTCTTCCCCTCCCCGCCCAGTCATCTGTGTTGTACCCAGGCCTCTATCCTTCACCTTCTCTGATTTTGTATCTATACGTTTACCTCAGTGACATCATCCTCTGACATGGGATGAGTTTCCAAAACCCAGCTCTATCTCTTCACTTCTATTCCTGATTCCAGGACAGGAAGGAAGACGCAATTTAAATTCCAAATAGAAATTTACTTGTAGAAAAATATAAAAAATGTTTTCCTAATATCAGTATTTTTAAAAAAAAGTGTAATTGAAACGTCCTGCTCCTTTAAATGGAATAACATCATTCTCTTTGTAGCACCCTTATAATTCTCCCGTTTTGTTACCTGGTATTGTCTGCAAGAATCAAATCTCTATTACTTTATTTATAAACTGTTCTATATATACCTACCAATATATGTCTGGCAAGCTTTCCTGCTGCTTGTCCAGCAAGGACCACCCTATGTTAGGGTTTTGGCTTGCAGGATTAACAGCAATTTATTGGAATGATTCTCTATCCCAAGTAACTAATCTGCTCTTCCAAGTTTTGCTGATGAGCCAGGCTGGCTGTGCTGTCATCAGCAGTGGCCTGGAGTACTGCGGACCCACCTGGCTCAGCAACCAGACTACCAAGGTCTGACAGAGGTCTGACTTGATTCCGAAATTCCATTGCCAAGCCTGTCACCTTGGAGCCAGTTCAGGTCCTAGGAGATCCTGTTTACCTCCACACCAAGGAGGATAAACAAAGTCTTTCACTTCATGACTGTTTGTGGGACATTGCTGTTTGCCAATTGGTTGATTTGTTCAACAATAACAAACTTGCATTGATATAAAGCCCTTCACATGAGGTAGCATCTTGGAGCACTTTATTCACCTTCAAATACACACTCTCTACAATTCACAGGAATTAGATGGCAGCATTGGAGTGCATGGCCAGGTGTTATCTATTCTTTTTGCACCATCTATTCATTCTGTGCAGACAATGCATGCACCATAGTCCCATCAGTTGTTCAAGAGTCATATTCCACAGTGGCAAAACAGACTGCAGTTCATCTTGGAAAAGTTAGTGGAACAGGAATTGGTCGTTCAGCCTGTCCAGCCTGTTCGCTAAGCTACACTTTCTGTGTTCTGTGTCAGAGCTGACGATTAATGGTTAAACTTGGCCATTGGTGATTACTGACCCCCAGAAACATCATTATTGAACAAACAACTGAGCCTATTGTCTGTCTGTCATCTATTCTCCACAGCGACCGCTTATTGTTGTTGGTGAAACACATTTGCAGTGAGCTCGCACCTCCACGCTAACCTGTTTAATCTCAACGTCATCGCTTAGGTTTTATGTGGTTTCAAAACTTCTGCTGCAGGGAAAATGGGGGAGATTGTTGAAATCCTCCTGCAAAGTACCTGATAAAAGAATGAAGGCCTTTCTACATATCCTCAAAACAATAGAGGAATTAAAGAGAGACAAAAGGCTAGCTGCTTCAGAAGAGCACTCAGCAAAGAGCCCAGCTACAGAGGAATACAGAGAATTTGACTGGCTCATTCCCCACATTTTAGGTTTAGTTTTGTTGCTTAGTGTTAATTAAAAGCTTATTCATTAAAAAATAAATAGAAAACAGGCCAGATCCAGATCGGAGATATCTGGACCAGTCAGAAATTGTGATATAAGAAAAAAATTGGACTTTCTCCAATTCAATAACGCTTTGCAGATCTGTTGTTTTTTAAATAAACCCCAGTAAAGAGAGGATAGTTGTTAATATTTGTGATTTGCATAGGTGTAATAATAACAATATCCTTGTAACAACAACAACTTGCATTTATATAGCACCCCCTCATAGTGTCCCAGAGCATTTGACAATGACGCCGAGCCAGGGGGAGGTGACTGTAGGCACGGTAGAAGAGGAAGGTCTTCCAGCACGACCTGAAGATGGGGAAGGAAGGGGCAAGATGGAGGGACAGAGGAAGAGTGTTCCAGAGTTTAGGAGCGTAGTGTCTGAAAGTGCGGTGACCGATGGTAGAATCCCGTGTCTGCGGATGACA